CCCTTTAAATTCTGAGGCGATCTGTGTGCATAGAACCCTCCTGGGGTGGGGGTGGGGTGTCCACTCAATCAGGCACCCCCTCTAGTCATCAGAATGGATGGTATGCATCCAGTGAGAGACCAATGAACACATACAAAAAAAAAAAAAAAAAAAAGAATGTCCACACCTTTATCTCTGTAGTTCTGTCAAACATCTGTGGCTGCTCTGTTCCTTCCCCTTCGGTCTCATCCAAGATGGCTGCTCAGGGATCAGCTGAATGCCTTGTATTAGAAAGCACTGGATTTCTTGCTTCTGCTACAAATTCCACTGGCTGTAAGCCTTTGAACTTTCTAAATATTCCTTTATATATGGTTCAGAGTTCTGGGATCATCCCCTGAGCCTGCTTGGTCCAGTGTTTTGTATTGTTGCTGATGGAGCTCTTCACTGCATTTCTACCCTCTCCACCATCTTTTTTGTTCTCCCCTTCCACGTTCGTCTAATGGCCATTTATGGAGAAAACCATGATGATCTTTACATTCTGTGCACATTACAAGTGGTTCATCCTAGGTTTCCTTGTCACAGATCTTCAAATCTTTTTCTGTTTAAGCTCATCTTCAGCCAACAAGTCTGTCTGCCATAAACATTGCATCAATATAAGTTCATATCTCATACCTTCTTTCTTCAATCCCAAGTGTGCATTCATATCTACCAAGAAAACTTCCTGCAGAGGATTTAGCTTCACCAATGTCTTCAGGAACACTTCTGATTTGGTTTGCAGTACAAGCTCCTTTCACTTCTGAATGATTCTTGCATTTTGTGCAGACTCATGCATAAATTAAGTATGTGCTTTTTTTTTTTTTTTTTTTTTTTAAACTCTGCTAGCTGGTCATAGATAATTTCCCATGATGCCACAAATAAAATTGTGGGTGAGGCAGTAAAGCAGTAGGAGTCTGATGAAATCCTATCCATGTACTTTTTTTGCTTCATCTAGACCTTCTTGGGCCCAGTCTCATCTATACTCCTTCCATTTGACAGTGAATTTCTATAACTAATTTTATGATTTGGTGGAGCAGTTCGTATTACTTTTGTCCCATGGCCAGATGTTTAGTCTATACCAGGGTCTGGCAGAAAACCACTAGATGGTTTTCAAATGGAGAATAGTTGATGGTATAAGAAGGTATAAAGGCCCGAATCCTAGGTCTTTACACTGTGATAAACTTACTAGGGCTTGCAATAAGATTCCTAGAACATCTCAGGCTTCCACAGACACTCAGTACCAATGAGACACTGGGTCACCATTACTAAGTGGAAGAACTGCTTGTACTGCATCCTGGAACTGCTTCATAAACGTTTCTTGCTTCAGGTGAGCTGGAAGCTTGATGGGTTGCTGATAAGTGGGTTAGGACAGCACATTCAAATGTGTTGTATGCTGCCTCAAATTCCAAGAAGGCCTACTATGTAATGCCGCTTTTTTATTGTGGTAATTGATGCTTTGGGAATTGGGGAAAGACTGAGAGTTCTTCCTTGGACAAAGGTACCATCTCACACAACCCAACTGACCATTTTTTCAGCAGAGTCCCAGTGCCAATATGAGGTTCTGGTGATGTAAGAAGGAGGTATTTCTTCAATGCTGCTAATCCAAGTGTATTCTTTACTTTGATGTATTTATCGAAAAAATGTTTTGCTGATTTTTGGTGGACATTGACACAGAAAATGAGATTTCCATTGAAAAATTTATACACACATTGTTCAGTGAGGACTTCTGGTGTGGTGCTGTAGGATCAACACTGGACTTGGAACCACAAGGTCAGCAGTTCAAAGCCACCAGTTGCTCCTTGGAAACCCTTTACAGGGTTGTTATAAGTCAGAACCAACTTGATGGCACTTAAAAATAATAACAATTGTTCAGTGACATACCTTATGTTTTTCACATTGTGTCAACAATTTTCATAGTTTTGTTCTGGTTGTTCTACTAATCCTTCCATTAGATAGATTCAATCCACCTGATACCAATTCATATTTGTGGAGGGCCTCATTTATATCATACCTCTTCCAAGTCAAGTGACTTGCCTGAATTAATGGAACAACCATCCCTTGCCAAGGACGAATTCAACCATCCTGTAGTACTGGCCAGGCCACGATGGGCCTGAGGAAAAACTTAGAGAGGTGTTACCAACTTTGTTCCCTTTGGGTATTTCTTTTTTGATTGGAAAATATGGGGTAGGGTCTGATAAGAGTCTTTTCTTCAGTTCCAGGAGTCCTAAAAATGTTCTGGAAAAAATAGTTTTTCCTATTAATTAAACATTTTTTTTAATACTTTACATAAATGTAATCATATGAGTACTTTTAGTTTAGCTTCTCTCTCCAGGTGTGTTGGTTTGTATCTCTCTCTGTTATTTTGTGAAACTAGTTTATTCCTTTTTATTACTGTGTTTTATTCTATAAGTATGCTCTAATGCATTTATTTATTTTGTTGTTGGTGGACATTGGAGTTGTTTCCATTGTGGGATTATTATATATGCTTATAGTGCTGTTATGAACATTTTGTGCACGTCTCCTATTTCTTTAATTGGTGATTCTCAAAGTGTCATCCCTGGACCAGCCACGAGTATCATCTGTGAGTTTATTAGGAAGGCAAATTCTGGAGTTCCACTCCAGATCTATTAAATAAAAAACTGAAGGTGGACCCCTCTAGGTGATTCTAATGCATGCTAACATTTGAGTACCACTTTTCTAGGCTATTCAATGAAGAGTGGAGCTGATGAGTCACAGGATATATGAAGGGAAAATGGAATGAAAAGACAATGGAATCTTTCCATGAACTTTTTGAAGAACACTGGGATGTATGTAATGGACAATACCAAACTGCTCTCCAAATTGATTGAGGGTGGGGAAGGTTATCACTGCACCTATGGCTCCACACTTGATGAATGAATGGTCAGTGAAGGAAAACAAGATGGAACATACCAGTCTTCTATTATCACTGAGTTGCTATGTTTTCCTCACCTGCATCCTCTTTTATGGCCCACCTTCTCACACTTTTGAGGCTCTGGCCAGGTCCAAACCCCACCCATCCTGCCACCAGACAAGCTCACAGAAAGAGTTTGCATGAAAGTTCACTTTAATGATCCAGATTTGAGTCGTCCTAAATATGCCCATTTGAAGGGCAAAATGGAGGACAGTGGAGAAGGAAGGCTTCTGTGTTCTCAATCAATTACAAGGTTGGGGCCCACAGTGGGGGATGGTTCAAAGAAGCCCTGAAACAAGAAAAAACAAGGGATTTGGGATTCGTCTGTGGGGAAGCAGCCCATTTTTCTTCCCATAGCTTAGCAGGCTGAAATGAGAACCTGCTCTGAGTAAGCCTTACATTTAGTGACTCAGCCACAGTTGAATGCCTGTCCTTTTGGCTTCCACATTGAACTCCCCTCATTCCAGTGATTTTCCTTTAGGTGTGAGGCTGGAGAAGTGTGGCAGCTCCTTGTTTGCATTCTTGGAAGCACCACGGCAACCAGTCCCACAGGTGGGTCTATCACTTAGCTCTGATTATGTTGCCTCAGCAACCAATCCAGGCTCAAGAAGCCCCACTACCATATGACAGGAATGGTGATGGGTTTCCTTGGTGAGCATGAGGGGCTGGAACCCCCCTGAGGTGCAGACTTGCCTCTGGACAGAGTTCATAGTCAGCTGGGAGCTCGTCGGCATTGGCATCACCCCAGTCAAGCCACCTCAGCCTCCAGTGGACCAGTGTCGTTTCCTTACAGTCTTCTCAGTTCTCACTCTTATTCACACATCACTAGGCTCCACCATCACTAGGCTGGCCTTTTAAACTGTATATCATATCATGACATTCCCTTCCTTAAAATTCCCCAGCTGACTTCCCACTGCACTTAGAATAAAATCCAGTCCGTTTATCATGACCTATGAGGCCCTGTGGATCCTGATGTGGAGCTATAGGATAAGCACTAGATTGTTAATTGGGAGGTTGGTAGCCCAGCTGCTCTTGGGAAACCCTATACAGGTTGCTATGAGTTGGAGCTGACTCCACGGCACTTAACAACAACATGAGACCCTGTATAATCAGTCCTGGGCCTACTGTTCCAACCTCATCTTCTACCACAGACTCTTCTGTCTATTCCTCTAACATACCATAGTATTTTTGTCTCAGAGCATTTGTGATTACAGTGCTTTCTGCCTGGGATGCCTTTCCTTTATGCCTTCTCTGGCTGACACCTCCTTGTCATTTGGTCATTGTCCAGATTTCACTTCCTCAGAGAGGCCTTTCTCAGTGTGAAGGGGTCTGAAGTTTGGGGTAACCCAACCCCCACTGGTCCTGGTGTGGCGCTGTGGGTTAATGCGCCAGACTGCAAAGCCCTTTGAACCTCAAGGTCGGCGGTTCAAGCTCACCAGTTGCTCCTTGGAAACCCTATACAGGATCGCTATGGGTTGGAATCAACTGACAACAACAACAACAACCCCCACTGTAGCCCTTGAGAAGACGGACAGGAACTGTGTAAGGGAAATGTCTGGGACTCAAGAGACCCGGGTCTAGTCTTAGCTCCATCATAAACCACATTGCAGCCTTGAGTAAGCCCCTTGACCAGCCTGGGCCCCAGTTTCTCATTTATAAATATAGACAGAAGTACCATCTAGCTAATGAGTTTTTCAATATGGCTTCTGAAGAGTTAAAGGTTTCCAACTTTCCGCCTCAGAATCTTGTCCAGGTGATTTGCTCAAGGCACAGAGCACGTGGGAGAGAGGCTGAGTGTGAGAGACTCAAGGTTACTCTCTGTCATTTATCCAAAGGAGCTTTGCTATTACCTGTTACATACAAGAGAGGTAGTCAGGAAATAGGGAGTAGGGTCGCATGCAAAACTCTCCGAGCAAAAAAGACTTATATTTCATTTTGAAAACTCTGTAGTCCCTTCAAACTTAATACATATACATCACATTATAGATTATTGCTTCCTAAGAAGCTCCCAGCACCTGCTGGGATCTTCTCTCAACAGCCCCCTCCATTTCCCTTATGGATACCCACAGGTGGTCTGTGAGAAGCCAGGAAAATTGGGGTCAGTCTCCAATTGGGAAAGGCAAGTTTTTACTTCATCTTATCTGCTCACATCCAATAGTCATTCCCTCCTTCATCCCAACCCCTTCATTTAAATAGGCCTGTGGCGAGTCCACCTTTTCCAGAAAGATCTAACTCCTCACCTTGACAGGTTTGGATGTCTCTTGTTTCAGGGCCTTTGAAACTGCTTTGGCCATTGGACTCTGTGAGGAGGGGAGCCAGGAGTCAAGAAGGAGGCAAAACAGAATGAGGGAAAGAGATGAAACCAAAGGTAGGAATTCAAAATTTCTGAGAAGAAACATGAGTCTCACCTTGGGGAATAAGAGTTGAAGTCTATCTTCTTGTTTGCCCCTTAGAAGAGATAGGAATAACAAACAGGACCTTAGTTTTCCAGTGCCCACTTCCCCTCACTTAAAAAAGATCATTTGTGGATCATAGAGTTGTTCCATGCTGATCTCAGAATCATTCTGCTGCTAGTGCTCATGGAAGCTCCTACCAGTGGTTTCTGTACCCACTCCCCTTCCTGTTCCATATACCCATCAGACAGCACGACAGACCACAGTTCTTACACACCTCACCCTGGTGGTATGGGTGGGAAAAGTTGCCTCCCTGTCCTTTAGGCACGAATCTGGGGGGTGGAGTCTGGGTATGCACTCCATCTTTTGGATCATCACATCCTGGGCATCCTTCCAGAACAGTCCTGCAGGATGAAAGGAAGAGATAAATTGACACCTGGGACACTCTGGCCCACTCCAGGGACTAGAGTGAGACCAACACTTCCCCTCTCCCTAATGACCATTTAGGGGATGCAAAAGCTGGACAGTGAATAAGGAAGACCATAGAAGAATTGATGCCTTTGAGTTGTGGTGTTGGAGGAGAATACTGAAAGTGCCATGGATTGCCAAAAGAACCAATAGATCTGTTTTGGAGGAAGTGCAGCCAGAGTGCTCCTTGGAGGCCAGGATGGCTAAGCTTCGTCTCTCATACTTTGGACATATTGTCAGGAGGGAACAGTCGCTGGAGAAGGATGTCATGCTGGGTAAGGTGGAGGGTCAGAGAAAAAGAGGAAGACCCCCAACGAGATGGATCAGCCAGGTGGCATCATTGATGGCGTCAAGTGTGGCAGCGGTGGTGGGGTTGGCCCAGGATCAGACATTGTTTCGTTCTGCTGTGCATGAGGTCGCTATGAGTCGGTTCCGACTCGATGGCACCTGACAACAACAACAAATGCTTATGAAGGTTCGGACTGCGAACCTTAAGGTCAGCAGTTCGAAACTACCAGCCGGCTGGTAAAGGAGAAAGCCTGTCCTTAGGTCAGACAGCCCTCATTGGCCACCCCCATAACTGACCTGGCCAGTTTTCATTTTCTTTTCTCCAGCTTTCCCAAACTTACCTTGGGGGATAATCTGCTGGAATACACCTTGCAATTGCCACAAGACTGGCAAATCTTTGGAAGGGCCAGGACGCCTCAGTGCCACTTGGTTCTGTCCATCTAAGGACACAACATTAGTGTCAGCAAGGAGTTTGGCCAAAAGCCTTCCCGAGTCCCAGTTAAACAGAGACAGATTCCCTCCACTGTCACTAATGAGTCCCCTGCCTCTGTCCTCCCACCAGGCCCTCTTTCCTTTCAAGTCTTCTTCCTCATTTTTCCATCCTCCCATCACCTCCCTGAGCCTTATTCACACTCGGTAATAACCTTTCGGTAAATTCAAGCTTATAAACTGTGGAGGTTCAGGTGAGCAAAGGCTCAGAAAGATATGCACATAGGAGGGATAACCATGTGGTCAGGTGGGGTATGTGGAAGCAGGTGAGCTGCATATTAGAGAAAAATTTAAATCCTGGAGTGAAGTCAGGTAAGAGGTCCAGTAATCCTTAGGAAAAGAAAGAACGAGGTTTGAGAGTCTGGGTCTTTTTCTTGAATGCCACAGTTTGCCCAGCTGTGCATTAGGGAGAGGGTGCGGGAGGTAAATAATCTCTACTGCTATACACACCTTCATTCTTCCAGGTAGATAAGGTAGGGTTGGAGGAGAGTCTATTTTTTCTTATAGCAGAATTACCATAAATCACTGTTGTTAAGTGCTGTCGAGTCGGTTCTGACGCATACTAAGTACAGGGTTTCATAAATCATTACAGACAGATATTACGGAACGGGAATTTTCCTCCCTAATTAACTGTATCTTAACAACAATTTCTTGGATTTTGGAAGGAGCGTAACTTGCAGAATCCGACTAAGAAGGAAAAGAGTTGCGGGGAGAAATGCTCCCAGAATTGATACGAGTGAGCATAGCGCTGGGCATCCTCCGCGGAGGCCAGGTCCGATGAGAGCCTGGAGCTCTCCGCGGTGCTGAGAAGTGGCCGAAGCCTGGCATGGGGGCGGTTCTGGGAAGAGAGGAGAACGAGGCATCTCCTCCTGGCAAGACCACACTCTCCCTTCCCTCAGCCGCCACTAGCTCTCCTCCCACCCTTCTCAGCAAGCTCCTGCCAGCGACCTCTAAACCCCCAAATCGGGCTCTTCTGCCCCTAGCGCCGAAATTGTGGACTCTGCGCAGTCTGCCTCTGCCAGTGATTTTGCGCAGGGTCTACCCAGTTGCTGGTGGAAGGGGGAGGAGGAAGAAGGATGGATCTTGTGCCTTTTTTTTTTTTTTTTAAACGGAAATGAGATGGCAGCTCCAGGCTCCGTGGGCTTGACTCTTGCAGTACCAGCGGCTCCTGCTCCTACTGCAGAGACACCCCAGTTCCCTGCTGCTTCTTAGAGGGGCTCTTCTCTTCCCGCGCCCCTTGACGCATCCCGCTTTTCCTGTGGCTTTACTGGCCGGTTCTCCCTCCCGCCGCACACTTGTCTTCCTTTCCTCTTCCTGCACCCCTAGTTTCCCCTTGAGCCCACTTCTCTTAGGTCTAGACCCTATAACCTGAACCCCAACCCGGCTTTTCCTCCGAGATGCTCTCTACATTTCTTTCTTCTCGCTCCCCCAAACACATTTTTTATCCTGAGTTTCCTAACCTTGAGGCCCCTTCACCCCACTTCTCTCAGGTCTTGTCCCCAAACCCCCAGGGCTCCTAACTGTTGCAGCCCCCTGGGCTGCTGTTCATCAGGAGGAAGAAGAGGAGCAGCTGGAGCCCCCAGGTGCTACCTCCAATCTCTAAGTTACACAAACAATAGCAACAGCTGCCAGAGACGCTAAAACGTGGTTGTCACTTCCCACTACCTAGAGAGGCAGGAGCTACATAACATTCCCTTGGCAGCTGGGACAATCAAGGTAGTGACAAGAAGTCCACCCCTGGCACTTTACCCTCACAAAGACCTCCTTTGGCTTTAGAGTACCGCCCTTGCAGGTGCCCACCTAATCTCCATTCCACCCACCTCCCGGAGACTGGTAGAATTTTCAACTTTTCCTGCTCTATTTTTAATTTAGGACCACTAAACCTAGTCCCAAAGGAGCTCTGGTAGCGTAGTGGTTACGAATCGGGCTGCGAACCTTAAGGTCAGCGGTTCGAAACTACCAGCTGCTCCGCGGGAGAAAGATGAGGCTTTCTACTCCCGTAAAGATTTACACCCTCGGAAACCCTATACAGGGTCGCTATGGGTCGGAACCGACTCGATGGCACATAACAACAACAACAACAATAACAAACCTAGTCCCAAAGTTGGTGAAACTGGCTGCAGTTGGGACAGTCATGGAGCTGAGCCATATGAGATGTGGGAGTACCCACCTCTCATATTTGTTGTGAGGATTACATAGAAACAGTGCCTGGACAATAGGCACTCAGTCAACTTAGTCGGTAAAGTTCTCTTTATGGCACCCGGGGAAGGCAAGCAGTTGAGAACTGGATTATTAGCATAGAGGCTGGCGGTATGAACCCCTCAGACTATCTGCTTCTGCAGGGTCTCACTATGAAGCAGCTCTACTGGGTGTACATGAGTCCTCACTGAGTCCAAATCAACTTGACAATAACAAACAGTAACAACTGCAACTAAAATGTTGCTGAAGATAATTTAAAATCAGTAAAACACACCCATTTTGTCTGGAGACGAAACCCTAAGGCAGGGACAGGGAACATCCCACAGGCCGTATTTTCTTGTTGTTTTAAAGTACGCTGAGTCAATTCTGACCCATAGTGACCCTGTATAGGGTTTCTGAGGAGTGGCTGGTGAGCTTGAACTACAGACCTTATAGTTCAAACTAACCTTACTACAGTCCAGTGCATTAACCCACAGTACCACACCAGGACTCCTAAGCCCCGCGAAATCATTTGGTTTGGCCCTGCCAAGGCAACTGCAGGTCCAGCCATCACATTGTTGTTGTTAAGTGCTGTATAGTCAGTTCCAACGCATAGCTACCCTGTATAGGGTTTCCAAGGAGAGGCTGGTGGGTTTGAACCTTGAGTTGCTGAAAGTGAAGAGGACTTAAACTATTTACTGATGAAGATAAAAGACCACAGCCTTCGGTATGGATTGCATCTCAATATAAAGAAAACAAAAATCCTCACCACTGGACCAATAAATAACATTCTTATCAATGGAGAAAAAAATTGAAGTTGTCAAGGACTCCATTCTTCTTGGATCAACTATCAACACTCATGGAAGCAGCAGTCAAGAAATCAGATGACGTATTGCATTAGGCAAATCTGTTGCACAAGACCTTTTAAAAAGTGTTGAAGAGCAAAGATGTCAGCTTGAGGACTAAGGTGTGCCTGACCCAAGCCATATTTTCAATCACCTCATATGCATGCAAAACCTGGACAGTGAATAAGGAAGACTGTAGAAGAATTGATGCTTTTGAGTTACAGTGTTGAAGGAGATTATTGAAAGTGCCATGGGCTGCCAAAAGAACCAACAGATCTGTGTTGGAAGAAATGTAGCCAGAGTGCTCCTTGGATGGCCAGGATGGCCAAGCTTCATCTGTCATACTTATGACATACTGTCAGGAGGGACCAGTAGCTGGAGAAGGATATCATGTTTGGTAAGGTGGAGGGTCAGAGAAAAAGAAGAAGACCCCCCAGCAAGACGGATTGGCAAAGTGGCAGGATTAATGGGCTCAAGCATGGCAGCAATTGTGAAGTGGCCCAGGACCAGGCAGTGTTTCGTTCTGTTGTACACAGGGTCACTATGAGTCGGTACTGACTTGATGGCATCTAACAGCAGCAACTTTGGGTTCAAATCAACCTTGTGGTCCAGTGCTTATCCTACAATGCCATACTAGGTCTGTCAAACAGTTAATTTGCTCATTGTGGGTTGATGCACTGGACTGCAGTTGGTTTGAACCACAGAGCCGGCTGTTCAAGCTCGCCAGTTGCTCCTCGGAAACCCTATTCAGGGTCCTTATGGATTGGAACTGACTCCACGCACTTAATGACAACATCTGAGTCCTGCTGTGGCACTGTGGGATAAAGCAGTAGACTGCGAAGTCAGTTTGAACCACAAGGTCAGCGGTTCAAACTCACCAGTCACTCCTTAGAAAACCTATTATAGGGTCGCTATGAGTCAAACCAACTCGACGGCACTTAACAACAACAACAACAACAATGTGTGTGTATGTGCCATCACATTGTTGTTATTGTTTCTAAGCCCCAAATTTGGCATTTCAATACTTTTTCATTACAGTTAAAACATTGTTATGAAAACTTTCAAATATTAAAAGAAGTCTAATGAACTATCACCCAAACTTAATTAACATTTTGCCACAAATGATTCTTTTTTTGCTGAAGTCTTTAAAACAATTTATAGACATCATGACATTTCACTCTTAAATAAGTGAAATTAAGAATAGTGTCCTATACAATCACAATATTATTATGACACTTGCAGTAACCTGAATAATGCTCCCACCCACTGCCTCCTCATTCTGAACTCTGGAACCTGTGACTATGCTATCTTCCATGGTAAATGGAACTTTGCAGATACATTTAAGTTAAGGATCTTGAAATGGGAAGATTGTCTGTGTGGGCCCAATGTAATTTTTATAAGGCAAGAGGTCAGAATCAGTAGTAGGGGATACGATGTCAGCTTTCAAGGAAGATCTGAGGGCAGGGCCATGAGCCAAAGAACAACGCAGGTAACCTCTTACTGTTGTCTGCTGTTGAGTCCATTCTGCCTCATAGTGACCCCACAGGGCTTCCTAGACTAAAATAAAATCCTCCAGGAGGATGTCACCCAGTCTTTCTCCTGCAGAACAGTTGGTGAATTCAAACCACTGATCTTTTAGTTAGCAACTGAGTGCTTAATCTCTGTGCCACCAGAGTTCCTTAGGTGACCTCTACAAGTTTAAAAAGGCAAAGAAATTGTCCTCTGCAGCCTCCAATATAAATGTAACGATGCTCATACTTTGATTTTAGAATTCTGACTTTCAGAAGTGAGAGATATATGTATATAATGCATATTTGTATTTTTTAAAGGCAAGTTTGAAGTAATTTGTTATAACAGCAACTGGAAACTAATGTATCAGCTGGAAACCTAATGAAAACTTATAATAATTTTGTAATTTATAACAAATTTCCAGTGCTTCTGGATATACATTCTTGGCCAATGAATATTTTGTACATATTTTCTCTCACTTAGCATTCCATTTTAATTTCTTAATAATGTCTACTGAAAAGCAAAGGTTTTTAAATTTGAACTCCAATTCATTAATTTTTATCTTCTATGGCTAATGCTTTTGTGTTCTCAGACATTTGCCTATTCCAAACTCATAAAAATTTCCTCCTATGTTTCCGTGTAGAAGTTGATCTAATAATATCAGTTATGCTGGCCTAATAAAGTCAGTTGGAAAGCATCCTTGTTTCTCTTATTCTCTGAGTTTGTGTACAATTGTGTATAATAATTTCTTGCTTAAATGTTTGAGCCTGGAGTTTTCTTCATGAGAAAGTTTCCTATTATAATTTCTTTAGCTATTTACATATTCTATTTCTTCATAAACTGTTTTGGAAACTTTTTTTAAAAGTTGTCAAACTTGTTAGTATAAAGATGCAAATTATATTTCTTTATTATTTTTAATATAAAGTGGTTTCAGTTTTTTTCATGCTACCTTGTATTTTCTCTCTTTTAAAATCAGTATAGCTAGCTATTTAGCAAATGTACACATCTTTTTTTAAAAAAATAAATAAATAAACCTTCTGGTTTTATTGCCTTTTTTGTATTGTTTCTCCATTTTATTGATTTCCACTTTTATCTGTATTAACATTACTTCCTTGGAGTTTAGTTCATTTCTTTATTTATCTTCTTGACTTGGAAGTTTAATGTGTAATTTCATTATCAATTGTTTAAAATCTGTTTTTCTTTTTTTCTTGTGGTTTCTTTGATGCATGGTTTATATAGAAGCATGCTGCTACTGGGAACTTTCTCGATACATTGTTGTTTATTATTGTTATTAAGTATTGTGGAGTCGGTTCGACTCATAGGGACCCTGCACAGGGTTTCCAAGGCTGCAAATCTTTACCGGAGCAGAAAGCCTCATCTTTCTCCCATGGAGCAGCTGGTAGTTTCGAACTGCAGACCTTGAGGTTAGCAGCCCAATGATGTTGCTTATTTATACTTTAATTTTAGGGCTGCTTGAGATCATCCTCTATATGACTTCAATCATCATAATTTTATTGTTTTTTGCTTCATGGCCCAGCATATACCCTATATAGGTGAATATCCCATGAACACATGTGAAAAAAATAAAGTTTAGTCTTGCATTTTTGGTTTCAGCATTCTGTAAGTGTCAAATAAGTTGGGTTGATAAATATTGTTCAAATTTTCCACTTTATGCTGATCTGTGGTTGATTTATCCATTATACTCAAATATAAA